GGATCCTGCAAGCCTCCATTTACACGTGAAGTCTTCGGCGAAGCCTTCTTCAAACTCGGGCCGCGCCACTCCGGAATCCTACAAGCCTCCATCTACCTCAGAAGTCGCTTCGAGTCTACTACAAGCGCGGGGGCCACACTACTCCGGGCACTACTACTACTTACTCCAGGCGCCGAGTGCACCTACCGCCGGCGCTACCTTTGGGCGCTGCAACTGCTAACTCTAAGCGTTGCGCGCCCCTTCTCCAGGCGCTACGTGCGCCGGCTCCGTACGCTGCGTGTACTGGCTCCAGGCGCTGCTAAGAAACCTACTTCTACAAGCGCAAACGGCGTGTGCTGGCTTCAGGCGCTGCGTGCCGTCGCTGCTAAGAAACCTACTTCTACAAACGCAACGTGTGTCGCTTCGACTTTTAGGCCCCACTTCAACGCTATATTCCCCTATTCTCTCACCTTTATTTTTTTATAATCTAATTGTATTCTCACTTCATTCATCATCATCCTCACATCATTTTTTTATAAAATTGTAAAAATACCTTTTATAAATTTAAATATATTGTTTTCTGGCTCTACCTTTGTTGTTTTGTTGTACTTAGGTTAGGTTCTATTTTTTTTATTTTTTTTTATTGTCGCTTCACGACACCCTGTCTTACACCTCTCTGCAATTGGATAGGTTTCGTACTCTGGTTCTGTACTCGGATAGCCATCGTAGCCCTACTGTACAAGCACTTCAACACTTCGATATACCGACAGTCAACTTGGTATCGCTGAAGGGACTGCAGCACCGCCCAAATTCCGACGGAATCAAAGGCTTTCTCATAGTCCACATACGCCAGACATAGTGGCAAATTGTACTCCTCGGACTTCTGTACAATTTGCCGAAGGGTATGTATGTGGTCTATGGTGCTAAAGCCTTTTCGGAAACCGGCTTGTTCGGGAGGCTGGAAGTCGTCAAGTCTGCGCGCGAGACGATTCGTAATGACTCTCGAAAACAGCACGTAGACGCGGCTCAAAAGGGAAATCGGTCTGTAGTTCTTCAAGAGAGCGTTGTCGCCTTTCTTGGAGAACAAGACCACCGCACTTCTGCTCCACGCCTCCGGTGTAATGCCACCATGGAGGACGGAATTAAAGAGCTTCTGAAGGACTTCAAGTACCGGTTTTCCACCCGCTTTCAGAAGCTCCGCTGTAATTCCATCCTCGCCTGGGGCCTTGCCGTTTTTAAGGTGCTGGAGAGCCATTCTAATCTCGCTCAGACTGACGTCCGGGATATCATCGGAATAATGTCGGATAAGACTCGCTCTTGGATCGTTACTCACACTTGCGTGCGGCTCCAACGATGACGTGTACAGCTGCCCATAGAACCTCTCAATCTCACTCAAAATCTCAGGTGCCCCGGAAACGATGCTGCCACATTCTGTCTTCAGCTTTGACAGTTGGCGCTTTCTGGCAGACAGATCTCTGGCAAAGACTTTGGAGCCTTGGTTCCGCTCGATCGCTTCTTCAATAGGAGCTGTATTGAAGTTGCGTAAGTCCCGCCGCATGCATTTGGAGATCTGTCTGTTCAGTTGCCTGTATGCTGTTAAATCTGTTGAAGAATGTAGCTTCATCTCCCGTCTAACAGCCATGAGATTAAGAGTGTGATCGGAGAGTTTTTGTGTTCTTCTGCGGCGGGTCTTGCAGAGCTTAGCTCCGACCGCATGGACAGTTTCCACGAGCTTGTCATTCAAATCGTCCACTTCATTGCAGTCTTCTAGGCACTGAAAACGGTTTTGTAACTCGAGCTGAAAGGTTTCGGGACTTTGGATTAGAGCACGAGGGGGACGGAGCGTTGACTTCATTAGACGAGACCTCTCCAACTTAACGTTTAGGTTCAGTGTGCCTCTAACCATTCGGTGATCGCTGCCGGTTTTCAACCTCGCGATCACTGAGACATCACTGAACAGTTGTCGTCTGGTCGTCATAATGAAGTCAATCTCATTTTTTGTCGAACCGTCGGGGCTCGACCAGGTCCACTTCCTGTGGGGCCGCTTCTGGAAGAAAGAGTTCATCATAAAGAGTCCCTCTTTCTCCATGAAGTCGGCCAGCTGCTGGCCCCTTGGGTTCCGTTGCCCTATTCCAAATTTCCCTACTTTCAGCTCACCGTTCTCTCTTGTGCCTAGTTTTGCATTGAAGTCTCCCATTAACACCGTATATTGGGTTTTGGAGGAATGCATGGCTCTAGAGATATCCTCATACATTTCCTCCACCTCCTGATCGGGGTGTGCCGAGGTTGGTGCGTAAACCTGTATGACCTTCAGCGAATACCGTTTGGTGATTCTGAGTATAAGGTACGCAACCCTCGTCGACACACTCTCAATATTTACAACGTTGTTAACGAGAGACTTGTGGACGATAAATCCGACACCTCCTTGGGACAGATGGTCGCCCTCCCGGTAATAGAGCAAGTTGCCGGATTCGAGGATTACCGTGTCCTCCCCCTCTCTTCGGACTTCGGATAATCCTATAATATGCCAGCGTAACTTGTCTATCTCTTCTTCCAGCTCCACAATCTTCTCGTCAGTCCTCAGGGTGCGTGCGTTGTATGTTGCCAGGTCGAGTCGTCGTAGGTGGCAACCGAACCTCCACCGGAGATTCTTAGCACCCCCTGCCCCGCCGTCCATATTACCCTCACGTACTAAATCTTCATCTCCCCTTTGAGTACGAAAAATATTTTAATTAGATATTTATTCTTAAGATTATAAACGTACAATAATCAATAACTACCCATGCAATGTTTTCTGCATTGCCTTTTTATAGGTTTTGAACCCAGGACAGAACCAGGGCACGCGTCTAATAATATGTATGTATGTTGTTATAGTAATGAACTTTAAAACTATATTTTCATTGTAAATACCTACGTATCTAACAATAACATCTACTGGAATGGAAAGAAACATTTTTCTTTCCATTCTTAATAATCTTTTAAATATCCTTTGTATTACTGAACATTGGCTAAAAGATTATAATTTCATGTTTAATTTCAGAAATCACCAGGTGGTCAGTTCCTTCAATAGAGAAAAAAGTTTACGTGGTGGCTCTTTAATATTAGCAGATAAATCATTATTATATAAAGAACGTAATGATATTGTGAGCCTCTCTGTTGAACGAACTGTAGAAATGGCTTGTGTCGAGCTCGAGCACCTCATTGTTGTAAGTGTTTACAGAGCCCCATGTGCTACTTATGACCATTTTGAAAGGATTGTGGAAGAAGTTTTACTGAAACTTAGTAAACAGAACAAGTCTGTTGTAATGTGTGGAGACTTTAATATCAATCTCCTTGAAACTTCTTCCATTAGTATTAAGTTTCGCTCATTGTTTAAATCGTATAATCTTGTAAATTTATTCTTAGAACCAACACGTATTGCTGGGCCTAGTGCGACCTGTATAGATAACATTTTTACAGAAGTTAAGCCCTTGCATAAATCAATTATTCAAAATTTAAGTTCAGATCACCGTGGACAGTTAGTATCACCTTACATACACAAAAAACAGAAAAATAAGAAAGTTGTGTTTGTTCCAATAAATGAACATCGCTTGGAGAGGTTTAGAAGTAATATAATAAAAAGACTTCCATCACTTTCGTTTAAAAATAGTGCTAATTATTTGTATGCAACATTATTTGAAATTATAAGTTGTGAGTTTAGTAGAATATTTACTTCTAAAACTTTCTCTTTTAACAGTCGCAAATCATTTAATGAATGGGCGACAGTAGGAATTTATAAAAGTAGGCGAAGGTTATACGAGCTTTATGATGAAAGATCATATAATAGTAGTGTTATGTTTAGAGATTATGCAAAAACATATTCTAAAATATTTAAAAAAGTGTGCTCCACTGCTAAGGCTTTACATTTAAAGGCAAAGTAAAGGCTTTTTCAAATACTTTTAAATTCCATAGAGTACTGCCAAAAGACATCGTTAAATATTTTAAAACTTTTGATGTTAAGAAAACGGCAGACTTATGGGGGATTTCCGTTAAAGTTATTTTATCTATAATAGATATATTAGCACCTTATCTAGCCACTATATTTAATATAAGCGTCGAATCTAGTGTGTTTCCTGATTTAATGAAACATAGTAAAGTCATACCTATATTTAAATCTGGTAGTACATTAGACCCCGCCAATTTTAGACCAATTTCTGTACTACCAACATTAAGTAAAACTTTTGAAAAAATTATTTTAGATTAGATGTTAAGTTTCTTTAATATTAATAAATTGCTACATAAAAATCAATTCGGTTTTACAAGGAGTCGCTCGACAACTGACGCTGGAGTTGAGCTTATTAAACATATTTTTTGTGCATGGGAGAATTCAGAGGATGCTTTGGGTATATTTTGTGACCTTTCCAAGGCCTTCGACTGTGTTCAACATGAGACATTAATCAGGAAGCCACAGTACTATGGTGTCAAGAACACAGCGCTTAAACTTATTATGTCATATTTAAGTAATAGAAAACAGAAGGTATCAATGGTAAAAGTTCTTCCGGGTCACATGTACTAATGGGTGTTCCTCAGGGCTCGATTCCCGGCTCATTCCTGTTTCTGGTGTATATTAATGACTTACCTCACCTTGTAGGGGATAGTCATGATATAGTATTATTTGCTGATGATACTTCCTTGATTTTTAAACTTAAACGTCAATCATTTAAATGTGACGAAGTAAATAATGCTATATCAAAATTAGTGCATTGGTTTAACGTTAATAATCTGCATTTGAACGGAAATAAAACTAATTGTGTTAAATTTACGACAACGAATGTTAAAAATCTGAATACCAATGTATTTTCAAATGGGAACGAATTGAGCCCTGTTGTATCCACTGTTTTTCTTGGCATCACTTTTGACGCAAAGCTCCAGTGGGGCCCCCATATATCCAAATTAGCAAGCAGACTAAGTTCTGCAGCCTATGCTGTAAAAAAGATTAGAAGTCTCACTAGTGTCGAGACAGCTAGATTAGTTTATTTTAGTTATTTCACATTAAGGTGCGTTTCTGTAGTGCTGAACGACTCATCTTGGAATCTGTTACAAAGCGAAGATCCAACTATGGTTTTGAATGACTTAAAGGTTATTGTTGCTGTATCGGAAAGTTCGTTAGATGCATCTTTATGTCGAACAGTATTTTTGCCTAAATATTTTGAATAATTGATAGCGTTGGGATCAAACGGGCAGATACCACACGCCTTGAAACCATTACGCCTGATAACCAATATATCTGGTCTCAAACTTGCTGCAAGTACTTCATTTAAGATATGTGCAAAATTTTGTTTGGTTATCCCCTTATTTTGATTTAATAATTGCCTTTTCTTTAGGTACTTCCTCCAGCCTACTTTTAGGAGTCTAAATGCAGAGACGTCAGTTGGCTGAATAATCCTCGTCGCGTTGGGATACAGTGCTATTAATTCAATTTTGAGATGTGTACATAACTGGCTCAAATGGTAATTTAAATGTGTTTTGTGGCCATCAACATATAGTATTACTGGGAATTCGACGGATTTGGAGACTAAATATGGGTGAAAAACGTTAGCAATAAACTCATAAAACACTTCAGCAGTCATCCAGCCATTTTCCGATTTTCCAATGCCCCATTCTTCCGGTAAAGACTCGCATATTTTTTCTGGTAGTCTTTGATAGGGATATACAATAAATGGGCAACATATGCCACCTGCTGCCGAGGACATGAGTAAAGCTGTTATTGATTCTTTCGCATTTGAGTTTTCAATGTTATAAACATTTTTTGAACCTTTCTCTGCTACAACTAGTCCTGTGCTCTGACAAATTCGAAAGTTGGTCTCGTCTGCATTAAAAACTCTATTGGGTTGATTGAGAATCTCAGTTAACCCTTTTTCTTCAGCGTACTGACGTATTTCGTCAAAACAACCTCGTATGTCTTTTTCTGACACACATGAACTCGCTTTCGTCACTCCTTCTGAAGTTCTGATACTAAGTCTAGGGTGTCTCTTTAAAAAAGCCTTCAACCATCCAATACCAGGTCGATTATTAAGGAATGGGTTGGGTCGTGGGTTGTCGATGAGAAACTTTTGAACGCTATCTAAAATGTTATCTTTATTTTTTGGAAAACCTTTTCGTGCTGAAGATATAATCCAATCTTCGAGAATAGCTTCTTCTAAAGTCAAGATAGGCGAAGGTCCGAGACTCGTTTTGTGGCCTGGCTTATGTTTGTAAACTCTGAGGGTAGTCCTTGGGACACCATGTTTTTGGCATATCTGCCGATCTGACAATCTTTTTTCATTGTTTTGTAGTTCAGCTATCGCTTCTTCGAGATTTTCTGGCGTATATTTCAATTTAGGAGCCTTTGGCATTCTGCAAGTAAAACGAAAACGAAAGAAAACCGTTTTGAAGCAGATATTGCCCGGTCAATAACTGTAATTATTGTCTATGGCAATCACTAAATATTGATATGGCAATAACTAATTTTTTTTAAAAAATTACGGCATCTAGCGAAGATAGTTGAATTATAACCGCACATAGAAACATAACAATGTGGCTACTTCTTAGTGATGGCAATTACTATAGAGTGGGCAGTCACTATATCGGTTACCTCGGATTGGATCGAGTGCTATTCATTGTAGCATTTTATTCGTTGACTTTGTTTACTATGAGTTAAATGACCGCTCAATATATGGATATGTAATGAGTTTGAATTGAAAGAGGGCCCATCTTTGTTTTTGCATTTTAACGAGTTTAGCGGTATTACTAACAATATGCATAAAAAAATGTATATATGTATTTTGAAATCACGTATGTATATATATTACTTTTCGAGCTGTACCGAATGAAAATTTTAAGAAGATTTTAGAATAGAATAGAATATTTTTTATTCAATATACATTACATGTGTAATTCTTATTGAAAGTCATTTTTTACTTTACCACTGGTTCGAAAAAAACCCTCTGTCTTGGGAAGAACCAGCAAGAAACCAAGCGGGACTTTTTTTTTAAAATAAATTTTACAATATAAATGATTACGAACTATTTACAAAATTTATTTTAGAAACTGCTTGGAAGCGACCACCTCATTCCCAGGGGTTATTATCAACCATGTATTCATTTATACTATAATAACCCGTTTTATACAGTTTCAGCTTAATAAAACATTTAAACTTGGTAATAGAGAGAACCTGTACATTTTCCGGGACCTTGTTGTAATAGCGTATACATTGCCCCAAGAATGAATTACTGACTCTGTGTAGTCGAGAAACTGGCATCACTAGCTTGTGTTTGTTCCTAGTGTTTACAGAATGTATATCACTTTTTTTGCTAAAACTATCTTTGTTTTTGTGAACATACCTTAAATTTTCGTAAATATACTGAGAGGCCAAAGTTAATATATTAATTTCTTTAAATTTATCTCTAAGAGACTCTCTCGGTTTTAGATTGTAAATAGCTCTAATGGCCCTCTTCTGTAAAACAAAAATAGTTTCTGAATCAGCCGCATTTCCCCATAGCAAAATCCCATAAGACATTATGCTATGGAAATAACTAAACTAAACTAATCTAGCTGTCTCGACACTAGTGAGACTTCTAATCTTTTTTACAGCATAGGCTGCAGAACTTAGTCTGCTTGCTAATTTGGATATATGGGGGCCCCACTGGAGCTTTGCGTCAAAAGTGATGCCAAGAAAAACAGTGGATACAACAGGGCTCAATTCGTCCCCATTTGAAAATACATTGGTATTCAGATTTTTAACATTCGTTGTCGTAAATTTAACACAATTAGTTTTATTTCCGTTCAAATGCAGATTATTAACGTTAAACCAATGCACTAATTTTGATATAGCATTATTTACTTCGTCACATTTAAATGATTGACGTTTAAGTTTAAAAATCAAGGAAGTATCATCAGCAAATAATACTATATCATGACTATCCCCTACAAGGTGAGGTAAGTCATTAATATACACCAGAAACAGGAATGAGCCGGGAATCGAGCCCTGAGGAACACCCATTAGTACATGTGACCCGGAAGAACTTTTACCATTGATACCTTCTGTTTTCTATTACTTAAATATGACATAATAAGTTTAAGCGCTGTGTTCTTGACACCATAGTACTGTGGCTTCCTGATTAATGTCTCATGTTGAACACAGTCGAAGGCCTTGGAAAGGTCACAAAATATACCCAAAGCATCCTCTGAATTCTCCCATGCACAAAAAATATGTTTAATAAGCTCAACTCCAGCGTCAGTTGTCGAGCGACTCCTTGTAAAACCGAATTGATTTTTATGTAGCAATTTATTAATATTAAAGAAACTTAACATCTAATCTAAAATAATTTTTTCAAAAGTTTTACTTAATGTTGGTAGTACAGAAATTGGTCTAAAATTGGCGGGGTCTAATGTACTACCAGATTTAAATATAGGTATGACTTTACTATGTTTCATTAAATCAGGAAACACACTAGATTCGACGCTTATATTAAATATAGTGGCTAGATAAGGTGCTAATATATCTATTATAGATAAAATAACTTTAACGGAAATCCCCCATAAGTCTGCCGTTTTCTTAACATCAAAAGTTTTAAAATATTTAACGATGTCTTTTGGCAGTACTCTATGGAATTTAAAAGTATTTGAAAAAGCCTTTACTTTGCCTTTAAATGTAAAGCCTTAGCAGTGGAGCACACATTATGTTTTTGCATAATCTCTAAACATAACACTACTATTATATGATCTTTCATCATAAAGCTCGTATAACCTTCGCCTACTTTTATAAATTCCTACTGTCGCCCATTCATTAAATGATTTGCGACTGTTAAAAGAGAAAGTTTTAGAAGTAAATATTCTACTAAATTCACAACTTATAATTTCAAATAATGTTGCATACAAGTAATTAGCACTATTTTTAAACGAAAGTGATGGAAGTCTTTTTATTATATTACTTCTAAACCTCTCCAAGCGATGTTCATTTATTGGAACAAACACAACTTTCTTATTTTTCTGTTTTTTGTGTATGTAAGGTGATACTAACTGTCCACGGTGATCTGAACTTAAATTTTGAATAATTGATTTATGCAAGGGCTTAACTTCTGTAAAAATGTTATCTATACAGGTCGCACTAGGCCCAGCAATACGTGTTGGTTCTAAGAATAAATTTACAAGATTATACGATTTAAACAATGAGCGAAACTTAATACTAATGGAAGAAGTTTCAAGGAGATTGATATTAAAGTCTCCACACATTACAACAGACTTGTTCTGTTTACTAAGTTTCAGTAAAACTTCTTCCACAATCCTTTCAAAATGGTCATAAGTAGCACATGGGGCTCTGTAAACACTTACAACAATGAGGTGCTCGAGCTCGACACAAGCCATTTCTACAGTTCGTTCAACAGAGAGGCTCACAATATCATTACGTTCTTTATATAATAATGATTTATCTGCTAATATTAAAGAGCCACCACGTAAACTTTTTTCTCTATTGAAGGAACTGACCACCTGGTGATTTCTGAAATTAAACATGAAATTATAATCTTTTAGCCAATGTTCAGTAATACAAAGGATATTTAAAAGATTATTAAGAATGGAAAGAAAAATGTTTCTTTCCATTCCAGTAGATGTTATTGTTAGATACGTAGGTATTTACAATGAAAATATAGTTTTAAAGTTCATTACTATAACAACATACATACATATTATTAGACGCGTGCCCTGGTTCTGTCCTGGGTTCAAAACCTATAAAAAGGCAATGCAGAAAACATTGCATGGGTAGTTATTGATTATTGTACGTTTATAATCTTAAGAATAAATATCTAATTAAAATATTTTTCGTACTCAAAGGGGAGATGAAGATTTAGTACGTGAGGGTAATATGGACGGCGGGGCAGGGGGTGCTAAGAATCTCCGGTGGAGGTTCGGTTGCCACCTACGACGACTCGACCTGGCAACATACAACGCACGCACCCTGAGGACTGACGAGAAGATTGTGGAGCTGGAAGAAGAGATAGACAAGTTACGCTGGCATATTATAGGATTATCCGAAGTCCGAAGAGAGGGGGAGGACACGGTAATCCTCGAATCCGGCAACTTGCTCTATTACCGGGAGGGCGACCATCTGTCCCAAGGAGGTGTCGGATTTATCGTGCACAAGTCTCTCGTTAACAACGTTGTAAATATTGAGAGTGTGTCGACGAGGGTTGCGTACCTTATACTCAGAATCACCAAACGGTATTCGCTGAAGGTCATACAGGTTTACGCACCAACCTCGGCACACCCCGATCAGGAGGTGGAGGAAATGTATGAGGATATCTCTAGAGCCATGCATTCCTCCAAAACCCAATATACGGTGTTAATGGGAGACTTCAATGCAAAACTAGGCACAAGAGAGAACGGTGAGCTGAAAGTAGGGAAATTTGGAATAGGGCAACGGAACCCAAGGGGCCAGCAGCTGGCCGACTTCATGGAGAAAGAGGGACTCTTTATGATGAACTCTTTCTTCCAGAAGCGGCCCCACAGGAAGTGGACCTGGTCGAGCCCCGACGGTTCGACAAAAAATGAGATTGACTTCATTATGACGACCAGACGACAACTGTTCAGTGATGTCTCAGTGATCGCGAGGTTGAAAACCGGCAGCGATCACCGAATGGTTAGAGGCACACTGAACCTAAACGTTAAGTTGGAGAGGTCTCGTCTAATGAAGTCAACGCTCCGTCCCCCTCGTGCTCTAATCCAAAGTCCCGAAACCTTTCAGCTCGAGTTACTTTTACTATTATTTATTTGCAGAGCCCGAACTTGATGAAAGTTAAATAATCTTTTGGAGAATATTTAGCTTACCCTAAAACTCCAATAAGAAAAGGAAAACGTCAACAAGAGAGACAGCCGTTTGCTATAACATCTGATAGTTTCAAATTGGCTTTACAGAAAAATCAATTGGATAAAGAAAATCTATTGAAAGAGGAAGAAAAAAAGAAATTAGAGAGAGAAATAAAGAAGACTAAAAAAGTAATAAAGTTATAACCAAAACAAAAACAAACCCTGTATTGAAAAATCAAGATGAGACTGTAAATGTAGACAATATTTCAGTACAAGCTGACAGTGTCATACCAAACTCGAAAAAAATTACTGCTTTAAAGAAAATTGTCGTAAAATTTGGTGATATTTGTATGGTGTGTATGCAGATAATCATCAAAAACAGAATCGATTGCAGTGCCTGCCATAAATATTTTCATTTACGTTGTGTCCCAAAAAGGCATAAAAAAACATCCCTGACGATGCAGATATAATGCTGTTTTTGTGTCACTTTTGTTACAAAATTGATAATTCTGACACAATTTGTGATACTGAAGATATAAATGAAATGTATGCA